TATATGTTTTTTATTCAAGTTGAGATCCGTATAAAACTTGGACAACCTGAGATCTTCCATAGAAATAATGTATTTCGGAATATATTTTTCATAAATTACTATTAAACTGACAATCTTAGTTGTATTGCAACAGAGGGGAAACAAATTCTCTTTTCATATATTTTGTAGTAAATAATATAAACATGAGATCCATACATAGATCCACAGACTAAAATAGGAATGCTGAGATCCTTTACTGTATAAATTGATATGAGGAAGGAAAGGTGAGATCCTGCGTTGTAGCCAAATGTATCATAACCACATAACCTAAAATTAATTTATTTAGCGCGATTGTAATAAGTGTTTTGAGAGTTAGAGCACATATGTATTTGGTGCATACTGCGTAGCATGGTACTCAGAGTATGTTTTAAATTTATGGGTATGTAATAATAACTAATTTAGATATCAACATGAATAATACACGTAGTAAACGAATGCTACAATTAGCAATGTTAAGTGACAATGATAATTGTGTAAAAGGAACTACAGAAAGAAAAGGTAAGTACTCGTATATTGTTTATTTAAAGGTATAAGTATCCATGTTTATGTTATAATAAGTTTACGATAATATTATTTTGATTAGAAAATGGTAAATTTTCACATACATTTGTACATTGAACATTGGAACTGAATGCTTAGGAGATAACTGTAAAACTACAAAGAGATAAACATATTATCGATCTTTATTTTTTTGCAATAAATAAATTCATTCTTGCCAGTCAAAATTTGTTATCGTCTTTTGATTTCGGATTACCTATATACAGTGTATCCCACTGGGAATTGCCGCGATCGGTACCTGGAAAAGTACCTATTTGAAAAATTTTAAAATTTGGGAACTTACCAAAATCAGTGAGGGCAACACAACTAAAATATTTTCAAAGTCGACGGCATCTTCGTTATTTTAAATGGAACACAAAATAATTCTCATTACTAAAATTTGAACGATGGCCAGGCATCTCGTAATAATTGCTTCTTTACTACTATAAACTACAAATAATAATTTCACAACTCGCTGTTTGATAGTTTGATTGTCAATAACGATTGTTAATACTCGTAGACCCCTTAATAAAAGTAAAAATTGCAATTATTTCTAAAAGTTGTAACCACAGCCCCTATAATGCCTACATCACATGAAAGATAATTAATTTCTGCACAAGATAGGCTAAAAAATACAGGATGTTCCATTTAAGTTAACAAAGTTATAACTCTTTGAAGTTATCAAAATGTACAGTCGAAAATTAAACACTCGGTATTATATTATCTATTTTATAGGTATTGTGTAAGGTTGTTCCATACGTGTTCTAGCCACATACCAAATCTCAAATTGATATCTAATTACTGGATTAAAATACAAAGGATCCCGCACAACCTTGCATCTGTCAAATTTTAGAAACTAGGTTTGTTATACAAAGTGACCTTAAAATTCCAAATAAAATCCAAAAATGCAAAAATATATAGGGTGTTCCATTTAAAATAACGAAAATGGCGTCGACTTCCGATATAACCGGAAGTGCTATGACCTTGAAAATATTTTAGTTGTGTTTCCCCCACTGACTTTGATAAGTTGCCAAATTTTTAAATTGTTCAAATATGTACTTTTCCGAATATCGGTCGCGGCGATTCCCGGTGGGATACGCTGTATAAACGTTAGGTTTTCCCCTTTTCGGTTTTGTCACTATCTCGGTTTGTAAGGTTGCAACTTGCTAATTTAATAACTTATGGACAAATTAACAATATAACTTATAAACTAGTAACAAAATTAATATAGGTAATGCTCCTTTAAAGTACCTATATTATTAGTATGAGGCAAATAGGATGTCTAAATGAATTACCTAATTTAAAATTTAACTATAATCATAGAATGTGGTTCTGATGAATACAATTTTCGAGAAGGAGACGAAGATCCTTGGACTGAATTTAAAAAATGGAAAAGAGAAGGAGAGAAGAACTGGAATAAAGAAGTAAGTTATAATATATAAGGTGGTCCAAAAAACGAATATTTTTATTTNATACAGGGTGTTCCATTTAAGTTAACAAAGTTATAACTCTTTGAAGTTATCAAAATGTACAGTCGAAAATTAAACACTCGGTTTTATATTTTCTATTTTATAGGTATTGTGTAAGGTTGTTCCATACGTGTTCTAGCCACATACCAAATCTCAAATTGATATCTAATTACTGGATTAAAATACAAAGGATCCCGCACAACCTTGCATCTGTCAAATTTTAGAAACTAGGTTTGTTATACAAAGTGACCTTAAAATTCCAAATAAATTCCAAAAATGCAAAAATATATAGGGTGTTCCATTTAAAATAACGAAAATGGCGTCGACTTCCGATATAACCGGAAGTGCTATGACCTTGAAAATATTTTAGTTGTGTTTCCCCCACTGACTTTGATAAGTTGCCAAATTTTTAAATTGTTCAAATATGTACTTTTCCGAATATCGGTCGCGGCGATTCCCGGTGGGATACGCTGTATAAACGTTAGGTTTTCCCCTTTTCGGTTTTGTCACTATCTCGGTTTGTAAGGTTGCAACTTGCTAATTTAATAACTTATGGACAAATTAACAATATAACTTATAAACTAGTAACAAAATTAATATAGGTAATGCTCCTTTAAAGTACCTATATTATTAGTATGAGGCAAATAGGATGTCTAAATGAATTACCTAATTTAAAATTTAACTATAATCATAGAATGTGGTTCTGATGAATACAATTTTCGAGAAGGAGACGAAGATCCTTGGACTGAATTTAAAAAATGGAAAAGAGAAGGAGAGAAGAACTGGAATAAAGAAGTAAGTTATAATATATAAGGTGGTCCAAAAAACGAATATTTTTATTTTCGCTTAAGTTTAACTTTTTTATTTCTTTTATTGATTTTCCATTCATATACATTTTACACTATTTTTCCTCCGACCAGAAGACTTAAAAGTTGAAAAAAAAAAATACAATAATTAGGTTCTTTTCCGATATAGGCCGGTAAAGTTCCCCAGATAACTGATAAATAATAACTAGTGGTTTCACTTGCAGAAGATAATCATTGTTTTAAAAACTTTATATTAGACTGATGTTCCGTCATCATCATGTGCCGTGCGAATTATTAAGAAAACAAATTTTTTTATGTAATATCTCCAACTATAAAGGTTGAGCCGCAATTAGGTGTAAAAAATTTAACCGAAACTTGTTCTTGACAAAACAAAATAATTGGTCTAATAAACCTTTATTCCAAAATGCCTCCTTACAAAGACACGGAATATTGAAGTTCATAAAAAAATTAATTCTTAATATTTTCTGAACTTATTAATAAATTGTTTTTAATTTGGTATAGTAAATGTCAGTGCCAAACGTTATTAGTTTGTGAGGAACCAAAATGATATTAGAAACCAGTAACGTGCAAACACCACCATTGATTTTTGTAAATCTATATTCTTTGCTGAGGCATTTTACTGGAAATATTTAAGGATACTTTTTGTAGCAAAATAATGTCTCGAGTTCACCATAATGGAGATTGCACGTCACTGACTTTTAGTATTCTGCTAGTTCCTCACAGGAGAATGGCGATTGACAGTAGTATTTACTACACCAAATTTCAAAACAATTTATAAATCCTTTCAGGAAATATTAAGAAAGAACTATTTTTTTATGAACTTCAACACCCTGTCCCTTTGTATGAAGGCATTTTGGAACAAAGGTTCATTTAACTAATTATATTGTTTTGGCGAAGTTTCAGTTACATTTGTTACATCTAATTGTGACTCGCCCCGTATATAAAAGACAAATATGGAAAGTATATATTTATTCATGAAAACATTTCTAATCCTATTTAACAAAAACTGGGGCACATTTCATTAGAGAAAATAAAGATCCATATCACCATATCACATTTAATTTGTGAATTTAGAATATGTATTTCTGATATGCCTTTACATCCTCTAAAAGAGGACTACAGTAAATTTTAGTAATCTGTTTATATTTAACAAAGTTGTAGGGAGCGAGACTATGAACTTACGGGTGAATTCCCTGTATATTCCCGGACTGTTATTTGAATGTTTGTTACAAAATTAATATACGTTTAGGCTACAAATAGATTAAAAACGTAGCTTTTACTCCAATCGGAGAAAAAATCTATTTTAAATAATAAACCATTCAGCGCTGCCAATACCAGCAAACTTGTAAATAGCGAGTTTTATATGTTTTATGTTATATTTTATAATTAAGCTGTCATGGGTTTCGTTAGATTTAAAAATCTTGTTTTCAAGAACATGGAACCGAGAGAATATCACTCTAACTATTCTGAAGACCAGGATAAATCAACGGACTATGTATCATCAACTGTAAGTCTGTTTGACTTTTTTCTTTTAAAACGGTTTATAATTCGCTGTTTAATAACAATTTAAACTGCAAATACTGCAATGGTGCATTTATAATAAAAAGTAATATCAAAAAGATTAAAACGTAATGTTCGAAAATTTTTGACAGATGTATATTTTTTTCTAAATAGTACAAACCCGAGCAAATGGTGACAGTTTTAAGCACTGACTATCACAAAAAAAATATAGAACTATTCTAGAGAGAAATATTCAACCCTCATTTAATCGACCATTCATTATTTTTTTTGTTAAATAACTATAATGATGTTGATGTTGATAATAATTTATATCATTAAATAATAATTAAGTTATATTTTTAAGATATCTTGGAAACCTAATGAGAATGAGGAAGTTTCTTCTACTTGCACTTCATATATATCTAGTGAAATACCCTATATTCCAAGATTTGGATTTAAGGTAAATCATTTACCTTTCGTTATTCTTTTCTCACAAGTTTTTGTAGGAGACGTATGATATGCAAGAACTTTCTACTTTAGAGAATGAATATAATGAGGTCTTACCAGTTTATGAAGAGCAAAATATTACTAATGAAATTAATACAAGTGCAGCCAATACAAATAAAATTACGGTTTTACAGAATATTACTGTAAGTAATCTAATAATCAAAATTATAATAAATATTTAATTGTTCACAATAGTCTCAAAATTGGTTTTAAGATAAACAAATTTTGACTCTTCGTTCTAATTAACTCAAAATTGTAATGCAGAGATAAAAAAAGTAATCTGTATGATTAAATAATTATTTGTTTATACTTTTAAGTTACCCTGGAAGCTTAGTGAAGATGCTTTTTCTACCTGTAAATCAAATAGTGAAATACACGATACACAACCTTTTCAACATGAGGTAAAAATCATTTTACTTTAGTTATTCTTTTTTTAACAAATTTTTGAAGGGTCAATTTAACGTGCAAGAAGTTTCTGAGAACTTACAAACAGCGAGCAAAGAAATCCTACTGATTTATGAAAAACAAAATATTGGAAATGAAATTAGAAGTGAAGTCAATACCAAAGAAAATACGGTTTTACAGAATATCACGGTAAGAGTCAGTAATAGTTCTAATAAATAAAATTGAATATTACAATTGTCATTCACATTTGACGTAATTTCTGTATTTTTGAAAATCTCAAGTTATGTCCCAAATATGTCCCAAAAAAACGGAACTATTAAATATTGTCCATAATTTATTAGCGGCACAATTCTAGTATTGATCGAATACCTTATGGCAATACGCCACTTGTAATATATTGAAAAAAGTAAACATTTATAAACAGAAACAAATTCAGTGTATTAAAGGTAAACTATTTATTCAGAAAAATCCAATGCATTCAAATTTAAATATTGAAGTCTGGTTTTTTAGTTTTTATAAAACATTTGAAAGTAGTTACAAAGTAGTTAGTAGTTAATTAAATTTCTACAATTAATAAAAATATGTATAAATAGATATATTCAAAGAAATGTATAGATTTTTCTTAGTTTTTCAAACTTTTCAAGCCATCACTTGATTTTTCTTCAGTGAAGTTCGATAATATTTAATAATTATTTTATTATTATTAAAATTTATCAAACTTCACTTATTATTATCAACTTCATCAATGGTATTTTGGGGCAAACTAGTGCCTTTACTACATTTTGAGATTTTTTTCTGTTTATACATTTTGACTTTCTTTCGATATTTTACAGGTCTCATTCCCATAAGAAATTCAAAAAAGATACTTACATTAAATATGATTTCTGATTCAAATTTCTATTAATAATATTATTTTATTTTCAATCATATATCTAGTGTGTTGGGCTAATAGGCGATTCAGAGAAAGTAGTCGCCGTTAGTCACAGAAAAACTAGGACATGGGATAAAAAAGACAGATGTATTTATTGTTGTCGCGATTGTACAAATTTCTCACGACATTTGTATCGAAATCATAAAGAGGAAGATTCTGTTAAGAAAATTTTGCAACTTCCGAAGGGGGATAAAAAACGAAAACATATGATAAATTTCTAAAGGAAGGAAGGGAACTTAACTGTGCTTGAAGAAAATAAAATCAGACCGGTTCAAAGAGCTACACAAAAATATGAAAACAACGAAGTTCAAGAGTTCATGCCATGTACGTTTTGCAAAGGTATATATCGGTTGAGATCGCTCAGAAAACACTCAAAAAAATGTTCTTACAATCCACATAATGGTGAAAAATATAACATCGCAAGTTTAGGACAAAATCTATTGATTTTTAAAGAATCTCGAAAACCGTTTTTGAATAAACTGAGATTGACGAAAGAGGTGTTTCCAAAAATGCATGCAGACAGAGCATCCTTTAATGGGAAAAACCCTATTATTTGCCAGTATGCTGAAGATTATTTACGTAAACATAAAAGACCTCACATTAAAAATGCGGTTTCTAATAAAGTAAGAGAACTTGGTTGACTTCTTATTCCTCTCCAAGATATTTATGGAATACGTACAATGCTAGAAGCATTCAACACAACGCATTATGATAAAATTGTCCATGCAGCCCAAATTATTTCCGGTTATGATGCAACATTAAAACAATTTAAGTCACCCTCTTTAGCAATGCACCTGAAAACAATCCTATTGGCAGCATGTTTAGCAGCTAAGACATTGCTGTTAAAGCAAGATCCTGTATTACCTGTCACTGATTATACACAAGCGCTCAAGAATGTAAAAAATTTTCGATTATTGGTTGATGAACGGTGGAAATTTGACATGGGCAGTTTGGCTTTGAAAGACCTTAATGAAAAGCAAGGGAAAACGCCCCAAAAGCTACCAGTAACAAGTGACGTTATTAAATTTCGCCAATACGCTGTCAACACTGCTGAACAGAGTGTGGCTATACTGCAAGAAAATGCTAATGACTTGTTAGCTTTTAAGAAATTGACAGAAGCTACCCTTGTTCTGACTATTTTACTTAATCGAAAAAGAGTCGGTGAAGTACAATACATCAAAGTAGATTCGTATTCACAAATCACTATTAGTAATGACCAGGAAGAGTGCCTAAATGTATTAACAGAGTCGGAAAAACTATTGTCAGCATATTTTAAAAGAATTATAACAATAGGTAAAGGTAGCAAATCAATTCCGATTTTGTTTCCAAAAAATGTGCAAACATATATAAGTACACTTATGTCTAGTCGGGAGAAAAATCAGTTAATCCCAAAGGAAAATCCATTCCTTTTCGCCTTAATTGGTAGTAAAGATAAATGGATAGACGGATCATCAGCGCTTCGTAAATTTGCAGAACGCTGCGGTGCTGAAAATCCGAAAACACTAACTTCATCCCGCCTGAGGCAACAGATAGCCACAGTACTTCAGTTGTTACATTTGAATGAAACGGAAAAGGAACAAGTAGCATCCTTCATGGGCCATACAAAAAAAACCCATGAGGAATTTTATAGGTAAGGCTATCTTTTGGAAATATAATATTAGTAATACAATCAAGGGTTGCTCGAAAATAACTACTCTGTGAGCAAACAGATTGTCATTATTTTTACTTATTTGACAATATACAGGGTGAGTCGTAATGTGTATATAATAATTTAAAGGCAGATATAGGGTGTTGGCGTTTAAAAAAAATAAAACTTTTTGGCGATGGTTCAGAAACAAATATATATATTTTATTTTTTGGTCATGTGATGAGACACATTTGTACCGCTTGGACATATAAATTCTTGATGTGATATTTGTTTTATACTCCTAATACCATTTTATACTTGTACTCAACTACATGTCACGATTACCTTTGCTGCTCTATAACTCAAGAATTGCAGCCGTTAACGAATGAACAAAGAAGTCATATTTTATTTAAAAATATCCAAGAATTCCGAATCCGATGTAAAATTTAAATTATGTTTACTGACAAAAAAATACAGAGTGAAAAATGTTAAAAATTTCCCATATCTGCGTCACTATGTTATTTTTTTATTGTAAACTTTTATCAAAAAGTGTAGTTTAATGGCTTTATTAGATGACCAAAAAATCAAAAAGAGATATTCATTGGTTTTTGAGCTATCGCCAAAAGCAGTGTTGTTTTTTCAAACTTCAACACCCTGTAACTTCTAATAATTGCACGCAAGTTTATAAGGCAAACTTGCACCATTTCTGACTCCCTAGCTACATCTATATAATTTAATTCATCTAGAAAAGAATTGAACATACCTATTTTTTGTTTTTATTAAATTATTTTCTTATCTTCAGGGTGTTACATATTACCAGGGTGAACATATTTTATAAAATCGGGCTCCCTATATATTATTTCAAATTTAGATTAAGTTCATCTCTCCCATATGCTTCCAACATAGTATTTAATTGTGTTATACAGGGTATAACCCTATATTCCCATTTTAGCATCCTGTATACCCTAGACAGAACAACTTAACAATAATTTTTTGCAGGCATAACGTTTTGATATTGGTACAGTTTCACGAGAAAGTGCTGTTTCTTTATTATTGCAACAGTTGAATGCAATAACAGGTGAGCCAAAACTCGAGCACATATTTTTCTCAATTTTTTTTTTAAATTAATCACCCGTATTTTATTTTAAAAATTGAAAATACACTTTATGTTCTTTCATTTTTATAAAGTATTCCCTATAGCTAATATCATTAATTTTTGATATTTATTATTTAATAACAAACGGAGAGTTCTTAAAAATCCTGTTAGAACAAGTTGGCTGTGGGCAAATGACAGATGTTATTCAGTAATAATTACTAGCTTGTAATTTAACAAACTTCTGTGAAATTTTGTATTATTTATTGTTATAATAGGAATTTTTTAAAAACTCTCTTTTTGTTATTAAATAGTAAATATTAGAAATTACTGATTTTAGCTATAGGGAATGCTTTATAAAAATGAAAGAACATAAAGTGTATTTTCAATTTTTAAAATAAAGTACAGGATGATTCATTTAAAAAAATTGAAAAAATTATGTGCTCGAGTTTTGGCTCGCCCTAATTCAACTGTTGCAATAATAAAGAAATAGCACTTTCTCGTAAAACTGTACCAATATCAAAAAGTTATACCTGCAAAAATTATTGTTAAGTTGTTCTGTCTATGGTCTATAGGATATTGAAATGGGAATGAGTCTCGTATACAATTGACNATCTCTCCCATATGCTTCCAACATAGTATTTAATTGTGTTATACAGGGTATAACCCTATATTCCCATTTTAGCATCCTGTATACCCTAGACAGAACAACTTAACAATAATTTTTTGCAGGCATAACGTTTTGATATTGGTACAGATTCACGAGAAAGTGCTGTTTCTTTATTATTGCAACAGTTGAATGCAATAACAGGTGAGCCAAAACTCGAGCACATATTTTTCTCAATTTTTTTTTTTAAATTAATCACCCGTATTTTATTTTAAAAATTGAAAATACACTTTATGTTCTTTCATTTTTATAAAGTATTCCCTATAGCTAATATCATTAATTTTTGATATTTATTATTTAATAACAAACGGAGAGTTCTTAAAAATCCTGTTAGAACAAGTTGGCTGTGGGCAAATGACAGATGTTATTCAGTAATAATTACTAGCTTGTAATTTAACAAACTTCTGTGAAATTTTGTATTATTTATTGTTATAATAGGAATTTTTTAAAAACTCTCTTTTTGTTATTAAATAGTAAATATTAGAAATTACTGATTTTAGCTATAGGGAATGCTTTATAAAAATGAAAGAACATAAAGTGTATTTTCAATTTTTAAAATAAAGTACAGGATGATTCATTTAAAAAAATTGAAAAAATTATGTGCTCGAGTTTTGGCTCGCCCTAATTCAACTGTTGCAATAATAAAGAAATAGCACTTTCTCGTAAAACTGTACCAATATCAAAAAGTTATACCTGCAAAAATTATTGTTAAGTTGTTCTGTCTATGGTCTATAGGATATTGAAATGGGAATGAGTCTCGTATACAATTGACCATAACTTTTGAAATACCCTGTATAACATAATTAAACCCTACTTTGGAAGCATAAGACAGATGAGCTTTGAAATAATATATAGGGTCTCCCATTTAAAAAATAGTATGTTTGGTTCACCCTGGTAATACGTAACACCCTGTATATACAAAATAATTATAAAATGTGCAGTTTTAAGATGGCTAAAATTTTTGTAAATAACTATTTTTGATATCTTCTATAATAACGGAGATATCGTACTTCGACGCACTAATGCCGCACCCTGTATTTACAAATAAACGAAGTAAAGAGGTGGAACAAATATTTTGAACATACTATCCATATCCTTTCTTACTCATGTAGATTACCACAAGACCTGTATCAAACGGCTAAAATAGCCAAATTATTATTAATGATGGACAAAGGGGAAGGTGCTGAATTTCAAGGAAGAAAACTTGATGAAATTGATGTAAACTTAGAGAGTTTAGACAATGAATGCTGTGCAGAGATTGAAAGCGATACTGGTAAGTTTTACCATTGTATAAGTAAATATTTATTTACTTATACAATGGTTTTACTTATTTCATTCAAGCCTAATATGTATTTTGAATTATGCTTTTAGAATCTATTAATGAAGAAAATTCTCAAGCTGATGACTGTCTTGAAAATAATAACCATGACTTTAGTTCTCAAGTCAGTGAAGGTACATTTAAATATTACATTAAGAGTATCAAGCTAATATATTATTTTTACAGAGACCACTCGTGTTGAACAGAAAAAGGGTAGAGTATCTGATGACTGTCTAGAAAATAATAACAACCATGACTTTGGCTCTCATGTCAGTGAAGGTAAATATAAATATAACATTAAGAGTATCAAGCTATATATTATTATTACAGAGACCACTCGTACTGAACAGAAAAAGGGTAGAGGATCACAGCGTGGATCATGGAATCAAAAACAAAAATCTGTTATGAAGGAATATTTCAAAAAACATATTTCAGGAAAGATCACACCCAAAAAACACGAATGTCTTCAATTTCAAAGTAAGTACCAAGATATGTTCATGAACAAATCTTGGGTACAAATAAAAGTGTTTGTCTATAACACATTTAAAAATTTAAAATAGATGATGCTAAAGACACTTATTGTTTTATATTTACTTCTTGGATATACTTTTAATAAACTTTTTAATCCTATCGTTTATCATTTACAATACCTACTTGTTAAATGAAACAGTCAAATTTCATAGTAAAAATTGTAGGCACTCCAAATATTTCCTTTCTCTCTACTAGTTTTCGTTGATAAAAATATTTAATATCAAATTACAACATTTATACATTTTTACTGAATCAAAATATTGCCGCCTTGTCTGTTTCTCACTGAAAAGCTTCTCATAAATTTTTGAATTTTTTATATCAAAAATATATTAATCATATTTTATGTTATTAAATTAAATCCTAATTATATTTTATATTTCATTCAGAAGATATTTTTATACTATGGTTGTAATACGTTTCTCTAATTATCAGTAGAAATGTGCAACAATTTTCTAAATAAAAGCAAGTGTGTGTATCGCCAAGAACTGAAGGAATCACTTTAAAAAAAACCGTTTTTATTGCAAATAAAATAGCCACGAAATAATGCGATATTTTTTCCGAAGAGTTTTTGCACATGTTATATTTTGGTAGTGTCCAGGAAAAGTAAAACGTAACGCAGAGTACGCCAAAACTTTATTAACCTAACGAAATAATAATTATTAATTCAATGCACAAGTGCATTTTCAGTGGAAAGAATGTATGCCTTTTCTCCAGTTCCAAACAAGGACTTGTCAAGGAAATTTTTCAGTATAAAATGCAAAATACATAGGTACAAATAATGCCTTTTGTGTATACACATGCATAAATAATGCATTTCCTTAATAAAGAGGAAACGGCGCAATGTAGAGATCTGCTAGGTTGTCAAGTTAACGGATCCCATTTAGATCATAAACCATATGCATATATCCATATATACACGTCACTCACGAGCGCACTCTGTTTAACCACGCGTGAACTAATTGCGTATAAAATTAGAAACATCTTGACA